ATACATACATACATACATACATACATACATACACACACAGCGGCTTAAAACAGAACAGTACGTTGCCCTTGCAACCCCCGTACAGTCACCAGAAAAAGAAAAACCAGCGTGTATGAAGGGCATTGCACAGCCCGTGAGCGCGCAGCAGTAGCAGTGGCATAAAAAGCGCCTCAAACAGCTCACCAGCTACCACCTCAGCTCGCTACATCACATCAATGGCTCAACACTCTCACCCCAGAGATCTTCACTGCCCCGGGTGTGGTCTAGTCTCCATCCCTTGCCACAGCCCACTAACCCGCAGTCCTAGTCCCTTACTGTAGAGCAGGCACTGCTGCGCATGGAGACGTGACGGTATTGTTCGTCGCTGGAAGAGTGCGCTGGTGCGCGGTATTGGCGTAGGATGCTGATGGTTAGTTTTGTTATAGTAGAGCGGGTTGTTGGGGGTGGTTCCGTTTTGCTGCACCCACTAAGCAACCCTTTCTTAAACTGCGTGCAAGGCCCGCACACCGATGTGGGGGTACTGGAAACCGAGTTCAATAAAGGGATTTCTTCAATGCGAGGAGCTCCGTCGCGGATTCAACGGAACGAGCCTCAATTTAAAGGCGCTGAAGTAGAGGATTACGGTATGTCTTCCGCGGGGTTTGGTGGGCTTGTCGTTGCTGGTTGGTTTTGCTTTTGATGAACTGTTTTATGCTGTACCCTTCCGTTGCTACGATACCCGCGCACGTCGTCGAGGAGACGCTCATTCTGTGTCCGTGATGTTATACCATAGGTGCCTAAGGGTTAACTTATAACCCCTACCCCAAGCCTCATTACCACCACCACCACCACCACCACCATAGAAAACAGCAAAAAGAAAACCGTCTGTGTGGAAAGCTCTGAGAATCCTGCTTACGAATAGCAGAGCAGAGCAGAGTAGAGCAGCAGGATACCAGCTCGTAGGTCTGCTCTACCGCGGCCGCGCCTAGCAGGTCTATCCAGCAGACTAGACCTAGACCTAGACCTAGACCTAGGTACTTGCTTGCCTGTACAAGTATCAACCCACCCCAGCCCATCCAACCCACCTACACAATCTCCAAATCGTCATCATCGTCGTCCTCGTCGTCCAAAACGCCACCGTTCCTATCTCCACGCCCACCGACCCTAACCGTAGAGTTCAGCCTTGACGGCCCCCCCCGACCCCCCCCCCCCCCCCCCCCCCCCCCCCCCCCCCCCCCCCCCCCCCCCCACCCACGCCCAACCCACCCAAGCTCTCCCTTCCCGGCTCTCTGATCCCCTTCCCCTCAATAACGAGCCTCGCCCTCTTCTTCGCCGGACTAGCCTCTCTCTCGCTTTTCTCAGCACTTCCACCCTTACCACCACCACCACCACTCCCACCAGCAAAAAACACCTCAATCCCGCCTTTCCTCGTCCCCCCCCCCCCCGTCCCCCTCCTCGTCTCAGCACGACTCCTCCCCCCCAACCCCACGACCTTCGTCCCCTCGCCTAGCCACTCCCTCCGCCCCGCCCCACCCCACCCCATAGGCTTAGCAGTAAACGCGCGCGCCGACGCCGTCGTGCCCCCCGTACTACCAGAAGCCGTCGTGGCCGCGCGCTTGCGCTTCACGGGGCTGAGCGTGACGTCTGCGGCGCGCTTGCCCAGGAGCCCGAGCGCCGCGGCGTCGGGGGGCGCGTGCGCGTCTAGCCCCGCGTCGTGCTGCCTGAAGGGGTTGGAGACGTCGATTGAGGGCCGCGCTGCTGCTGCTGGGGGGTCGGTGTCGCTGGCGTGCTGGTGGATCGTGGCGGCGCTCGCGGGTCTGTTGCCAGCAACTGCCCCTCCCCCGCCGCTCACTCCGCCGCTCGCTCCGCTCGCCCCGCTCGCCTTCGCCCGCATGTACTCCCCCCCAGCTTTCCCGCCCATGCGGCCCAGTTTCTCGGCGAGTTCGCGCTCCCGCTCCCGCTCCGCCAGCCGCTTGCGATGCAGTTCCTCGCGGCTCATGCCGCGGTCGAGGGCGCCGTCGTCGGCGTCCAGCCGCTCCGCGGCGCTGCGGCCCGTCATCCCGGCCGGGAGGATATACGCCGTCTCATGGAGGAAGGCGTCGTGGTAGCGGCCTTCGCTGGGGAGGGCGTAGCGGTCGTATCCCCCACCACCCCCTCCTCCGCCGCTGCCACCGCCGTTGCCCTTGCTATATGAGCCCTTTTGGCCTTTGGGCCCGCTGCCGAAGCCCGTCATTGTGTTGACTTCCATGCGCCCGCGCTTGTGCTTCTCGACTTGGAGGTAGACGTGGAATTCGCAGAACTCGGTCTTGCGCTTGTCGATCCAGGTGCCGCACTTCTCGCCGTCTTTCTTGATGCTCTTGCAGAAGCCGAGATCGCGACTGTTGCCGATTTCCAGAATCGTGTCTTCCGAGGATCCAAGCTTCAGCGAGAATTGCCCAGTGTTGCGATCTCGCGGTGGCATTATCGAGGGGTTGAGGACGGCGACTAGCGTGCCAGGTGTGAGCTTCCAGAAGGCTTGGAATGCTGTGTCGAACAGAAAAAGATCTATCTCCCACTTGAAGTCGATGAGGCGGAGGACCATAAACTTTGAGCGGTTTCCGTGTTCCTCGTCATCATCCTCGGTGCTTGAGACAATCTTGCGCTGGTTTTTAGTATTCCGCGGTTGTGACTTTTGAGCAATCACACCCATGACTACGTAGTCTGCCTCTACATCCGGCGGTTCATAATTAGGTCCTTTGACAGTTTGGAGAAGGCGTGGTAAGTGGTAGATTTCCTTTCCTGAGAAGGCTCGGCTGAGGACGTTGTGTGAAAGACTGCGCTTCGAAAGATGGATACCAGAATAAGGATCGAACAAGCTTGTGTCATCGGGAGATGACCGTGATGGTTCCGCGGAAGCGGCGGGCTTTTTAAACTTCTCAGCAGCAGAAGGTTTCCTGCCGTGTTTGGCTGCTGATGATGTGGTTGAGTCGAAGGACGGGTTTGCTCGGCGGAAAGAAGGCCTAGAAGTGTTGCTATCAAATGACTGAGTGGGGCTGGTTAACGAATGTTTGGTTTGGCGTATGTCTTGAGAGCTTTTCGTTGCTCTATGGAACGAGTGTGGTTCGCTCTCACTCGACGGCTGAGAGGGCGTATTCATGTCTTTGGCGCCAATTCCGAAGCCTCTACTCCGCGCCTTCTGGATTCTTTCATCCTTGGCCTCTTTCTCATTCTCCTTGACTCGGCTTTCGGCAAGTCGCTCGCTGAAACTCTTCGGTTTGTCAAGTGAGCTATTGCGACCTTGGGCGCCACTAGCCCCGGCATAAGAGTTGGACCGTCCGTGGCGTGTTTCAGGCCCAGATCGGAACGTGGCTCTCGAGCTTGACGGCCTCTTCAGTGATACGTCCTGAGCCCGGAGCCCTTTGTCAATGCCTAACAGCACGCGCGCTGGGGACGCGGGCTTCTGCGGCGCTCTTCGGTCCGCCGATGGCGAGAGAGGAACCTGGACAGCGCTCGCCGATTCGGCCTGCCTCGACGGTGCCTGATGAGAGGGATTTCTGGCGCGAGGGCTCAATGGCCCACCAGTCTTGCTCTTGTCGGGCGGGGACTCGGTAGACTGCTTCGCCTTTGCCGCTTGTAACTTCTTGAGCCTGAGCCGCGCCTCGATCGCTTGGAGCTTCAACTGGAGGGTTTCCTCATCCTCGTCCTCCGCATTGTCGTCCACGTCGTCGGACAGGGATATCGGCGCGCGCGATGCCGCTTTTGGGGTTCCGAACAGTCGCTTGGCTGGCGAAGCCGACGGAGAGGCATTGTCGCGGCGCTGCTGCCACTTCTTGCGACCGCTGGGAGAGCTCAGCAGCGCTTGATGCGGCGACTTGGGCGGCCAGCTGGGCTCGTTCGGTGGTGGTACTTTGAGGCCATGAGTAAGCATGTGGGCAGACGGGGAAATGGCAAGCAATATATACCCTTGGACATGGCGAACCCCCGGACGATCAGCTGGGAAAGACAAAGTGCAAGGTTAACACCGACGGTAAATGGGGCCAAGGTGCTTCGCGGCCCATGTCCGTCAGCGATTGTTGACGTCGATCTCGAATGTTTGTTTAGAAGCGGGTGTGGCTTCGGGCGCTGCAAGGGTGCCACGGTGCTAGCGCGCGGCGCGTCTTCGCGTTTCAATTTACGGCGCGTCTCCCACCACCCTCTTCATCGCCATGGTGAAAACACGCTCGAAAGGCCCCGCAAAGCCCGCAACAAAGTCTGCCGCGGCCAATGGCGAGCAATCGGCAGGGCCAACTATGCCTGCCAGCGTTGCAGACCCGCCAAAGCTATTCGTCCTCCCCAAGAACGTCTCCGACGACGCGCGCATAGTCACCATCCCCAACCCTGCGACCGCAACCCAGTCCCGCTATTACTGCTGTCCCCAGAATGGCTTCTACGAGTTCACAAGGATAGCCGCGCCGAAGAGCGCACCAAGAAGTTGGCTTCTGGCACCAGAAAGAGCTACGAAAGAGGAACAAAACCCCGAGAGCAATGGCTCGACACAGGAGATGCCCGATGCGCCGGAGGAGCCGTCGGAAGCCGATGGTGATGTGCAGGGTCCTCTCGAAAAAGGCTACACTTTGAAGTCGCCCGACGTTTTTGTGGCTACCCCTCTGGATGCCCTTTTCCTGATTCTTCCAGCGCTTGCTCCTTCGGCCAAAGACCAGAAGCAAATGTTTCTTTCTGCGGACGACCACCTGGACTCGCTAAGCAGTTCATCCGCACACCTACGAGCGCTTATTACCCGTCAAACCATCAGGCAGAGGTTAGAGGAGAGGATGGCCGCGGTGTGCGATACTGTAGATGCGGGAGACGAGAAGATGTATCGGCTGTCGATCGACAAGCTTGTCGGAGAGTTAGTGGCCAAGGCAGAAAAGCTCGTAGACAATGGGTTACCGGCGTCGATGGAAGAGAGATTTGTTCGGAAGGCTTTAGAGGTTCCGGTCATGAACATCCGAAGAGAAGAAAGCACGATAAGCGCAGCAACCGTTGAAGGTGCAGAAGTGGAAACACCAGGAGCCGGCGGGAGCCAAACGGCCTCAAATGCCAACCCTGAGACTCAGAATTCAGCCGAGTCTCAAACTGCAGCTGCTACTTCAACTGCGGAGCCCACCGATACGGTCAAACCCGCGCCAGCAAAACCAGCGATCGTCGCGCCAGAGGGCGTACCGCGACTCCTTCGCCTGCGCACGGCGATTGAGTTCATGTCTACTTCGTACCTTCTCACCGCCCTTCGCTCCCTTGTCCAGACCGCGCTCAAATCCAACAAGCCAATCGACTTCACAACATTGGATGCGCATCTTGAGCACCTGTCGTCTCTCCGCTCGCAAGCCCAAGCGCTGCGGTCTTTGTCCGACAACATTAGCCGGAAACGGGGCGTGGATGACGACGAGGCTGCAGAAGTGCGCGCGGAGAAGAAGCGGAAAAAGGAGGAAGATGATTTGAAGAAGAAAAATCAGAGCCGAGGCGTCAAGCAGTTGGCCAAAGTAAACACGACGGGGATGAAGAAGCTGAGCGCCTTTTTCACAAAGGCGCCGGCGAAGAAGGAATGAAGCGTGTGTCGAATGTCGGTTTTGGATTGTGCATGTGCTTCAGGCGACCAGTCTCCGGGGCAAAGGAGCATTGTACGGCGTTGGCGGCAGAGCACGTCTCTGTGGGCGCATGGATGGGATTTTATCAGCGTGCTGGATAAGCCGAGGGGGTAGCGCAAAGCTCAACACCATAAATGCAGTTCGTATAGCGGTCACGTGCGGCGCAGAGTGTGCATTGACGTTTCGGATGGGGAGATCGGCCCTGGGGTAACCGAACGGCCGGGAAGAAATTTCCAACAGATCCGATCGCTGCCGGCGACCACAACGCCCGACACATAGCCAAGAGACAGGCCTTCCTTGTTGCGGTCGTCGTTACGTGGCGTCACATTTTCTAGCTGCTTTGTTCTCCTGCAGTCTGCAAAAAAAGCATTGCGCCCTCACTCCTTTGCCTTCTCCTCCAGTCAATCGCCCACCATGGTCGAGACAGGCAAGCCCATCTACGCCCTCATCGACTATGAGGACCCTTACGTGCAGCCTCTGATTCTTTCCGCTTTCAAGTCCAAGCTGCCCGAGTCCTCTTACGAGCTCATTAAGTCTCTGGACGAGTATCCCTCGTCAGGCGGCCCGCTGCTCCAATTCCGCGCATACGAGGCCCTGGACTTTGACTCTGCGCTTGAGCGGCCTCGCTGCCTTATCAATGCATACGTCATCCGCAAAGCGCTGATCCGGAAGCACTACCTCGCGACGACATGCCACCATTGGGTGGTCAAACATCCGGACAGCGTGCTGAAATCACACGTCAAGCCGAGCGTAGACTTTGAGCTGGACTACGCCGAGTTCCTTGACGATGCGCTGGTCGAGGCGTTCGAGTTACACGAGAGTTGGCAGCGGAATGAAGGCAAGAGCAACGAGGAAAAGGAATGGTGGATTCTGAAGCCGGGCATGAGTGATCGCGGCCAGGGCATCCGCCTGTTCTCGTCGGAAGAAGAACTGCAAGCGATTTTCGACGAGTGGGAAGCCGAGCGACCAGACTCGGACGACGAAGGCGAGGGCGAGGATGAGGAGGAGGAGGGGGAAGAAGAGGTCGACGGCGCCTCCGCAAACGGATCCTCTTCAAGAATCTCCAAGAGCCATTCCGCCACCGACGCCCGCAGCGACGCCGGATCGGCCTCTTCGCACAAACCTCTCGACTTCTCCCAGATCCAGGTCACCACGGAGCAGAAGAACTACGTCATCACATCGCAGCTGCGGCACTTCATTGCGCAGCCGTACATCCACCCGCCCCTCCAGTTCGAGGGCCGCAAATTCCATATCCGGACGTACGTGCTGGCCGTCGGTGCGTTGAAAGTCTACGTCTACCAGCCCATGCTCGCGCTCTTCGCCGCAGCGCCGTACGCGGCGCCATGGGCGAGCTCGACCGCAGACGGCGGCAGCGGCCCCGACCTGCGCGCCCACCTCACCAACACGTGCCTGCAGGGCTCGGAGCAGCGCGAGGGCAGCGTGCGCGCGTTCTGGGACCTGCCCGACCAGGCAGAGGACGCCGCGTCGCCGCTCAATGGCGTTGATGGCGGCTGGAAAGCCCATGTCTTCGACCAGATTTGCAGCGTTACCGGTGCGGCATTCGAGGCTGCCGCCCGTGAGATGATGATTCATTTCCAGCCGCTGCCGTCGGCGTTTGAGCTGTTTGGCTTGGATTTTATGGTCGATGAGGCGGGCACGGCCTGGTTGCTGGAGGTTAATGCGTTCCCGGATTTCAGGCAGACGGGTGATGAGCTGCAGGGCTTGGTGGAGGGCTTGATGGAGGAGGTGGTCGATGTGGCTGTGAAGCCGTTCTTTGGGCTGGGAGACGAGGCTGTGCAGGGGACGGAGAAGATGCGCATGGTTGCGGATGTGGATCTGGGGAAGCGATGAGGCTATGTTGGGGTGAGGGATGGAGTGGACGATTTGATGGCAGCAATGAGCATTTTTGATGGTTGGGATGTTTGGTTTGGGAGACGATATCTGTTAGAAAGGTCTCTTTGGTTTGCCATTTTGGCTACACGTATAAGCCTTTTGATTTGGACAGCACACATAGGCTACATGGAATATTCGGTATTGCTGTATGTCAACAAAACAAGTGCAAACGAGCTCGTGTACAACAACGGCATCTCAACACGCAAGCTCAATTAAACATCCTTGGACTCGGTCCTGCGATCGTTGCCCCGCCGCTTCCAACACTCCCTAAACGCCTCCATCTAGCAAGCCATCAGCCTCAAGTCCAAAAGTCCAGAAGTCCAGGAACGCAGCGCGTGCCGATATGATTGGCGGCGCCGAAGATCGGAGCAGCCAGCCAAACGTCTCGCCCCGTCTCACGCACGCACTGCAAACACTCACCTCCTTCTTGCACGCGCGCCAGTCCTTCGTCTCGTAGTAGCAGTCGGTCATCCTGGCGTTCTCGACCGCGCAGCCCGTCGAGAATATCCGCTTGTCCCTGCCGGCCGTGGTTGGCAACGAGTAAGTAGGTACGTCCACTAGGTACATAGCCACAGCAGTCGCGGCGGATAGGGCGAGCTCGCGTACCAGTCATCCGGCTCGTCGTCGTCAACGCTGACGTTCGTCGCTGCGGAGCCTGTCTTTGCATTGTTTGACATTTTCGGGAAGCGCTTTTGCTGTCACGGTGCTGCGCGAAGTTGGAGTCTGTCATCGGCATCGCAAGCCCGCAAGCTGGCTCGGGAGAGGCTCGGAACGTCGCCGTCTCCCGTCTGTCTGGCTCACCACCTACCTACCTAGGTACCATCACCAGCTAGGTCACGCCGCAAGCAAGCAAGCCAGCAAGCAAGAAGCAGCATGGCGAGCAAGCGGACCAACGTGCTCGTCTACTCAGGTATATACATGCCGCCGCCGCCGCAAGCAACAAAAGCCACGCGCCGCTAACCCAGCGCGCAGGCAACGGCAGCACCGTCGAGAGCGTCCGGCACTGCCTGTGGACGCTGCGGCGGCTGCTCTCGCCCAACTACGCCGTGCTGCCCGTCGACGGGGCGGCGGTGATCAAAGAGCCGTGGACGGCGTCGTGCGCGCTGCTCGTGGTGCCCGGCGGCGCGGACCTAGGCTACTGCCGCACGCTGAACGGCGAGGGCAACCGGCGCATAGCGGCCTTTGTCAACCGCGGCGGCGCGTACCTCGGCTTCTGCGCCGGCGGCTACTACGCCTCTGCGCGCTGTGAGTTTGAAAAGGGCGACCCCAAGATGGAGGTTGTGGGGGACCGCGAGCTGGCGTTTTTCCCGGGCGTCTGCAGAGGCCTCGCGTTTCCTGGCTTTGTCTATCATAGCGAGCAAGGCGCTCTGGCGGCTGAGCTGCGCGTCAATAAAGACGCCCTCGCTGCTGGCGGTGCAGTGCCCGAGTCGTTCCGCTCGTACTACAACGGCGGGGGCGTCTTTGTCGACGCGGAGAAGCTCGCGCACCGCGGCGTCGAGGTCCTGGCTAGCTACACGGGCAAGCTGCACGTTGACGCGGGCGCGGGCGCGGCCGCCGTCGTGTACCGCAAGGTGGGCGAGGGCAGCGTGATCCTGACCGGGCCGCATCCAGAGTAAGTTCAGTTCGTGCGCGGAGTAGCTGGGTATTGCAAGCAAGCTGACGCAGTGGCAGATTCGCCGCCGTCAACCTCACCAAAGGCGACAATGTGCCGCATTACGACGAGCACGTCGTCAAGCCGCTGGCCGCCGACGACAAGCAGCGCACCGACTTCCTCAAGGCCTGCCTGCTGAAGCTGGGCCTGCTCGTCAACCAGGAAGCGCAGGCCGTGCCGTCGCTGTCGCGGCTGCACCTCTCGTCGGCGCGCCCCGAGGACGTGGCCGAGCTCGTCTCCTCCTGGCACGACATCATCACCGTCGAGGGAGGCGAAGAGCTCATCCGCGCCGAAAACGACACGTTCCACCTGGAGAAGCCCGCGCAGTGGAGCGCGTCGTCTGCCGTCACCAACGAAGACAGCACCACCAGCACCAGCAACGACGACAACGCGGACCCCACCGCCGGCGACCGCATCCTCGACCACGACGCGCTCGTCAAGCGCCTCGTCGCGCACGAGACCGCCCTCCCCTCCAGCAAAGAAACGCCCTACTGGAACCACCACGCCTTCTTCAGCGCGCTCTCGCTCTACTCCACAAGCGCGCGCCTCACCAACCCCGTCTTCGGGCAGCACCTGCTGTACGGGGAAGTCGTGACAAGCACGAACACGCTGCTGGAGAAGAACCCAAAGCTGCTAAAACGCCTGCCCGCGGGCTTCACGGCCACCGCAACAACCCAGCTCGCGGGCCGCGGCCGCGGGTCCAACGTCTGGGTCTCGCCGCCCGGCTCGCTTATGTATAGCGTCGTGATTGAGCACCCGGCCACGCTGGCGCATGCCCCCGTCATCTTCGTGCAGTATCTTGCTGCGCTGGCGACGGTAATCGCGGTGAAGTCGTATGGGAAGGGCTATGAAGCCCTGCCGCTGCGCCTGAAGTGGCCGAATGATATCTACGCGCTGGCGCCTGCGACCACCACCAGCACCACCGTGACCAGCGGCAGCAAAGCCCCCGAGGCGAAAGACTTCACGAAGATCGGCGGCGTCCTCATCAACAGCAGCTACGCGGGCGGCAGCTACACGCTCGTCGCCGGCGTCGGCATCAACGTCGCAAACGCCGCGCCGACGACGTCGCTGGACGACCTCGCGCGCGCGGCGGGCCTGCCCGCTTTCCGCGCTGAGAAGTTGCTTGCTAATGTCCTTGTTGTGCTGGAGGGCTTGTATGCAAGGTTTTGTCGTGAGGGGTGGGGCGGAACGCCTTCTTCCTCCTCTACCATACCCTCTACCACTATCCCATCTAAAGGCTCCCTCCACGAAATGTATCTGGACCTCTGGCTGCACACAGACCAGATCATAACGCTGGAAGCCGAAGGCGGCGTCCGCGCTAGAGTCAAGGGCATCACGGCCGATTGGGGCTTGTTGCTTGTGGAGGAGCTGGGGTGGGAGGATCGTGCCACCGGGAAGACGTGGGCGCTGCAGAGTGATAGCAATAGCTTTGATTTTTTTAGGGGGTTGGTGAGGCGGAAGGTTTAGGTTGGTCCTCACTACCTACACATACATACCTACAAACCACTTCCTCTGCACGCGTACATGGTCTATGCTTTCCACCCCTGTGGCGCTGCGGCGGTATGGCTATTGAGTAAATTCAAACGTGGTAGAGGGGCTTGTGTCCTCGTTCTTTCTATCACCTATGTACACGAAACCCTCCCAAGGGGCACGCGGGCGCAGAGACAGCAGACGCTATAAAGCTCCACATGCCCACGAGGACTAACGCCACGTATGCCCCCATATCTCTTCCACATGGGCACGGAGGCGTAAAGATGCAAGGAGCGGAAGCAAGCCATATACCCACGAACCCAGTGCTTTTTTATGCAGCGATGGGCGTCCTAGACGGGCCCTGCCCAGGTACCTATTACCTTAGGCAGGCCAACGCTCCAGACGGAAAAATAAGCGTACGCTTAAAAGTTAGGTAGGTAAATGGAGGCAAGGATGCAAGGAAGGAAAGCGCACACAGCCTACCTAGCAGCAGCCGCAAGCACCGCAAGCGCCGCAAGCTCCCGCACTCGATGTGCACGCAGTTGTACTAGCGGCAGCCAACGCCAAAGCGCGCCGGCGAGCGATGTCGTCTGCGTGCATTTGGCGGCGGGTTTTTGTTCGCCTTCTGCACTGCGCTTTCCTCTTTCTGCATCGCCTTCTTCCGCATAGCCTCCTCCCGCTTCACCTCCTTATCATCCCCTGCTGTTGAACCCTCGTACTTACGCCGGATACTGCCCGCCTCATGAGGCGGAACAGGGTCGTCCCGATGCGCATACCGGATCCTTGCCCGTGAGCGCCAGGTCGCTTCAGCTCCGGAAACGAATCTCTGCCACACAACATCCTCCGGTGAGCGACAGCGGCCCAAGCGATGCCAAGTGCTAATGGAAACCATGAAGCCTTCAATAGGCCCTTTGTCGTAGACTCTGACGCAGTAGTCTGTGGGGCAAAACCGACACGCCCTCATCTCGCCCACGAAGCCGGGAAAGCGGTCTTTTTCGAGCCGGATGTGGTGATAACGGTAGTCACCGTGTAGTCTGGCCGTGTCCAGTTCCGGGATCCGCGTCGTGCACACGCTGTCCTCGCGCCCAACATTGTGTGTCCGCACATGGGGACAGATGGTGCGCGTGTGGCTGTCGATGAATTTCCGCAGGTTCCGGTCCAGGCACATGTTCTTGATCTCGTACCTCGCGGCGAGGAACAACTGCCCTTCTATGATCCGGGCGCGCCACTGCTGGTTGACTAGGAATCCGCCGGGATAAGCCTCTGCTCGGGCGGCTGAGAGGGCAGATAGTGGGAGTCCGTGGAGAGGGCCGAGGAAGTGTCTGTCCATGACGTGCTTGGCACGCTGGAAGAGCACGCTGTACTCGGCTTGGTGCACGTTGAAGGCGAGCGAGGCGCCTTCTTCTTCTCCCCGCAAGGTCGTGCCGCTGGAGCCTGTGTCGCTGTAGCGAGAGCCGTATGCGCTGTCCACGTCATCGTCTTTTCCTCCTTGTACCTTCATTGAGCAGGCAGTCATAGAGGACTTGTCATCGTCGTTGTTGTCGTCGCCCTGGAAGGGGTTTTGGCTGAACTTTGCGTATTCTGCTGATGGTTAGACGGCGCCGCACATTACGCTGCGCGGTAGAGATACCAGCTAATTACCTGAGGGAGTTGGCAGCGCCAGCGCATCCCGCGACAGCTCTAGCCCGTGCCGCGGCTCGCGGTCCTCTGCCTCATGGCAGTCGGGATGCGATGGGTTGTGAATGTGGCCTTTGGTGTGGCTGCGGCCCTTGATGTAGATGCAGCGCTTGGTGCGACTGCAGTATTTGCACAAGAGGCGGCGAACGGCCTTTGCAGGCCTCGAAAATATGCGGCTCTTGTATTTTCCGAACCTCATTTTTGCAGCGATTGGGATGGAGTGACGAGTAGCATAGAAAGGGTTTGTGTGCGTTTTGGAAGATATATATGGTGGACTCTAGGCGAAAGTGAGTTTTGACCAGAATGAAGAGGGGTGGTTCCATGGTTTGCAGAGGTGTTCAACCATATGTGGACTGCATATGTGTCCAATCATGACTCCGCCCATTAGGGTGTTTAGGAAACAACCGGTCTCTATGCCCACTAATCTTTTACGCGCAAACACTTACTCTGTAGCTTCAGGGCGCTCAGCTCCTCCGGCTCGCGCACCCGCGCACCGCGTACAGCCAAAGCGACATTCTGTGTTTCTGGATAGCTAGAATGCACTCGGCCATGGCTGTATTAACCCATTACGATTGCATGACACCCGCCGCCCCCGAAATGATTCATAGACTCGGCGCAGTGGTGAACAACACCCTGCACTCTGCTATCCATGCCCCCAATCGCCCAAGATCGCCACCCCGTCTTTTTCTCCAAGACACGGGACTTTCCAATAAACATTGTCGTGTCAGTTGTACGTGACTGTTCCGCCCGCGGGCTTGAAAGAAAGAATTCCAACACTGCGAGAAAAATGTTTAGCGAAGGAGTTGGCGTTGACGGTACTATTGCGAACTTGACACCGTACTCAAGATTCGTAGTGACAACACTGTGCACCAACACTCAAACATCCTCGTCCACGTTGATCGGGTGTTGTCTCACCCTCCTGACCGCATCCAAGAACTGCAAGGGGCAAAGCGTTACGCCGAAAGATTGAACAATGGGACAATGCGATGCAGCAATGGGACGAAGCCAGGCGATAGACGGAAGACCATAGGCGGAACAAGTAGGGCCGAACAGCGAAGTATGGAAGCACTCGCAGTCAGCGCAGTAGTACAGGATGGGAAGGTCGCGCAAGATGATGTTCAGGAAGTTGAAGCGGTCGTCGCCTCTGAGAATCGGCACAAAGCCCGGAATCCGCCGCAGGGGCGGGTGGCTGAGTGTCAGCACCGCGATGTCGGACATGTCCATGTGTTCGGCTACCATGAGGCGCAGTTCCGGGGGCAGCCGGCTGAAGGGTGCTATGTACGCCATTGCTACCATGGCTCTGCGGTAGTCTGCTCGCGTGGGTGGTTGCGGCCCGAAGTAGAGGGGGTTAGCCCAGGTGAATGTTAGCAAGATGGCTGCCATGATGGCGCTTGTTTAATGTCTTCCGGATTTGGTAGTTGGTCGCGAAGGTTTGGTTGCTGCGTAAGCTGGAAATGAATAGTCTCTGCTGTTGATTTGGTAATGAATGCTGCCTAGTGAGGAGCTCGAGTTAATAGCTTGAGACGTGTTGAAGGAGAACATGGTCCAGTTGTCTTTCGCAGACAGCGACGTCTGGCAAGGCTCCTTCCGTTTTGCGCGTGCAATGCTGCATCGCGCTTCCGGATAAACGTCTCTAACACATCTGGGAGCATTTTCACCATTGAGGCTTTACTGGCGCTCGTTGTACAGTGTCGAGCACAGTCGAGTCTCGAGTGAAGTGTAGATAGAGAAGGCTGGTCGAACATTATCCCGAGAGGCTATTCCCAACAGAGCCTGAAGCTACGGCCACCAACCAACAACAACCACCGCGAAGATGATCTTGACACGGGCGCATTGTCTGCGGACAGCGCGCGGAGCCATCTCTCCAATCCGGGCAAGCCCTGCCATCTCCTCCACGGCACGCGCCCTTCTCCAACGGGGCTACGCAAGCGACTCCAGCGCGCCGTCATTCGACGACGTCAACTTCTCCAAGAAAACCGACACCGAGATTGCCAAGCAAAAGCTTTATTCCCTGACCAAGGATGGGCAGTGGAAACTGCTGCCGGCCAAAAACGGCATCGACCGCAGCTACTACTTCCAGGACTACAAGGGCGCGTGGCGCTTCATGAACAGCGTCGCCGCCGAGGCCATCACTCGCAACCACCACCCCGAATGGAGCAATTTCTGCAACCACGTCTACGTGCGCTGGACCACGCACCGGCCGGCGGGACTTTCCATGGAAGACCTCGACCTGGCGCTCGTGTGCGAGAAGCTCGCTGCCGAGCACGAGTTTGCCCCCGTCGCGCAGCTCGGTATCCAGCCTGAGGTTATGCGCGCGTTTAGGGACTCCAGCTTTGAATGCCACTCCGGCGTTAGCTTCAAGAAGATTTGGACTAGGGTCGGCCGCTTTGCTGATGACGCCATCGCGCATGATGCCTACAGGCTCTGGAGTAATGTCTATAACAAACTGTATGTTAGCACGCAGACGTGGAGGGAGGGTGACCCTCCTGTTCGTGCGTTCGTGTATGATGATAAGATGGGCTTCGAAGTCTTGAAGGACTTGGCTGATAAGGCCGCCGGGCTTAAATAAATCGCTTCTTGTTGCCTCTCTGCTATTTGTGCTTAAGTCATTGGTTTGCGGCTATGCATGTGCCGGAGCTGGCACGGGCGGAGGCTACACAGCGTCTCCCAAGAAGCGACCCAGCCTACGACTCATAGACATCCACGGGTAAGCCATATCATCCCATTCCCAATCGCCACGCATATGCTAATCGAACATAGCTGTCAGCACGTCGCGTACCGCAATAACAGGATAATGACAATGCCATGGGGCATTCACCCCATGCACCACCTTTCCCACAAGAAGCTGGTCAAAGTTTCGTAAGCGCGACCAACGCCATCACAGACACAGCCCATTTGTGTCATGCTCTGTATCAGGAAGGGCTTCTCAATGTCCCACACCAAGGAACAAGATCTACGCTTGCTCCTCCGTCTACTATCAAAACGGCACGCATCAGTGAACAGCACAGTTGTCCCGCAGCAATCCCGCAGCTACTCCTCGCCGGCTCCTCTCCTCCCTCCGTGGAACGCTCCGGGTCCCAATCCTCCACCGTGTCCAGCGGATCGACGAATCCCGGCTGGAGCGAGGGAATATCCTCATCGAGGACCGGCGCGACGTCCTCGAGTTTCGCCAATCTATGGAGGCGCTTCTTCTCGTCGGGCGAGACCGAACGCGGACGATTCACCTTGCGCGAGTAGTGCACGTTGTTGACCGTGGATTGGGAAGTCTGTACTGGAGCGAATAATAGCTCGGGCCCCTTGCGCTTGTTTTTAAGAACTCGAGCGGCAGTTTTGTGGGACAATACCACCAGAGACAGCACAAGGCTCTCCCACCGACAGCATGGACAGCGTCGTTTGAGCGTCAAACTCGGCCTTTTGTGGAGGCATCGAGATAGTTCTTGGGAACCAGCTGTCACTGTGGCTACGCTCTCGGCTTCAGTGCCGATTTCTACAGCGGGAGACTTGTTTGTGTCGAGCTCTGAGAGGAATCTGTGGGCCCCTATGCGTGTGGCTATATGTGAGTTGTCCTGACTTTGCAGCTTGTTTTTTCCATGTTGAATGCCTTCTTTCCTTGTTTTTATCTACTAGTAATACGGGAGATCTTTATCTATTTAATCTGGGATATCTATCTAGCGGATCGTACATATCATGCCAATCGTACCGCCGCTGTTACACCTCGCTATGCATCACACATATACACATCGATCCAGGCGTTGCCTAGAACCACTGTCCAAAGAAGGGTATGCTCCTGAACAGCTCGTCGTACTGCTTGCCAATCCAGCCCTTGGCAGCACCACCGCGACCAACGACACCCAGCCCGCCCGCAAGCCACAACCCCGTCAAAGCGGCCGCAATGAAATTGATGCCGTACCACCTCTTCTTCTTCTGCAACTCACCACCAAGGCCGCCCCTCGTGACGCTCGCGGGGTTCTTCCTCCACCACTTGGCCATGCCCCACACGCCATGCCAGACGGAGATGCCGACGAGAGCAGTAAAGCCAGTGAACGAGGCTACGGGGTGCCTGGCAAAGCCATGGCTGACATACTCGAGGCCGACGCCGGCGCTGCTGCCCTCGACATACAGCGGAAGCAGCCTGTTGATGAACGCGTGCCCCGCAACCAGCCACATGGCTGAGTACCCGAGCGCCGAGGTGCCCGACATGGCGGGCCAGGGGACTCTGCGGCGCTCGTGGCGGGAGGCGCGCTCGCCGGCGTAGCGGGCGACGAGCTGGCGGCGGCGATACAGGCGCAGCGCCAGGCCCGAGCCAATGTGCGCGGCCAGCGGGACGACGACCAGAAGCGGCTCAAAGGGAAAGTCTTGGTAGTAGGGCCGGGTGAGCAAGAGGTACGTGTCCGAGTCGGGAATTGAGCGGGTGACGAGCGGCAGGATCGAGGTGTTGGTGAGGTGCGCGGCCGTGTAGGCGGTGAAGACGTAGGACGAGTATTTTTGGATGCGCGTCACTGCGGGCCGCCTTGTCAGTGGTCGCGTCTGGGGAAACGGCTATTTTAAAGTGGGCTTACGCCAATATACGGGGCCATGGCCGCTGAGTCCTAAAGTCGTGGCCCGGGCGACCAGCGGGGGCGGCGACGGCGATGGCTCGGGCTCGAAGTAGCCTTTTTCATTCTCGTAGGGCTCCTCGTCGACGGGCGAGGGCTCGAGCTCCTGCAGACTAAAGACGGACTGGACCTCGGCGAGGTCGGGGGACTCGGGAGTCATGGTGGTGGTTGCTGGGGGAGGCTGCAGATTGGAGTCAAGAATCCGGGGAAGGGGGCCACTGGGGCGTGTGTCATCAACTTTCTGCGCGCCCTGATGCGTCGGCCAGTCGGTGCTTCGGTGCATGTTCTGGCCGAGCCGCCGACGGCATTTCGTCAGGGTCTCGGAGCTCAATCCAGTCTCAACCTCTCTTCACACGCGCATCGCGACAAACATCCTTCCATCTCACGCGCGCAATCTCCCAAGACGCCATCAACATGCCTCCCGTAAGCCCTTCGCGCCCCAGTCTGAGTCAAGTTCCCGCCGATTAACACAAGTCTCCCAAGAGAGCCTTCACCAACCCGGCGCCCAAGGTTCGTAGCATGACAAACCACGCCACGACGCGCGCGTCGCTCACTGACACGCGGCACGAATAGACCGAGAGCGCTCGCGAAGCCGCCAAGAATTTCTTCTGTTCGTCATCCTTCACATCATCAATTGCGACGACCACCCGCTGACGTCGATCGCATCAGGCGAGCTCTGCCAGAAGGGCTATGCCCGCTCGAACGAATATGAGACGCACTTGACTTCGTACGATCATCAGCACAAGAAGGCAAGATCCCCCATAGACCCGTGAACAGTTTGACTTCATCTCTAGGCGCGACCACCAATCGCAGGTTCGCAACCTGCCCACAGTACATGCATCACGCCTACGTGAAAGTCAGATCAATTAACTTGTCGAACAGCGTCTCAAGGAGATGAAGCAGATGCAGCGCGACCCCATGGCCGCCGAGAAGGCTCGCCGCGCCGAGCGCAAGGCCAACGAGGAGTCCGGCCTCGTCAAGATCGATCTCAGGAAGCCCGGCGGTGAGGCGAAGAAGGGCGGCTTCAAGAAGGGTGGCTTCAAGAGCGCCTTCGGCGAGCCGGAGAAGGACGAGGAGACACCCGTTCCTCCCAAGAAGGGCGGTTTCAAGAAGGCGTTTGGCGGAGATGAGGACACCAAGGAGGAAAGGAAGGAGACTGTCGTGCCCAAGCTGGCCGACGAGGAGGAAGACGACTCGGATCTCAGTGACGTGGATTATGAGCTGTACGATCCCAACCACGGCACGCTTTGCATCGACACCGCCTGCAAGACGTGCTACCCCAACGGTGCTTGAGGCAGTCATCTCTTTGATCTGGCGTTCTTCGGCAGTTGGTGGTCTGGCACAATGATACCCTACAGGGACGGAGTATATGGTCTTCACAAGAAAAGTTTGCTATTTGGTTCTACCCTGTTTGGCTTGAACCATGAGATGCGATTGCTTCTTTCTGGCTTGATGTCTCATTAGCGAGCCATAGTTGGCAACCTAGAGGCTAAGTTCTACCCTTTCGTAGAAACTGGGGTTCCAATGCGTTGTTTGTTAAGCATTTTCAGATATGCCTTCATACTGTGTTCAAACTACTAGATACAGTCAACGTTCAACCTGGTTAAGAACTTCCGAAGGTCGAAATATTTTTCAGTACTCCTATTTCCGGCTAGGTTGTAGGTGGTCATTTGCACATCTCTGCCGTTACAATGCAAGAAACCTTATAAACAGTTAGTACTATGATGAGACCGGACTGTAGATAAAACATCAGCCCATCTAGGCGTTAAGCGGAGCCCTCAGGCTGGATATCACATAGTGATAATCATATTTTTAAGTAATGTTCCGGGATTTTGCTGTTGTGAAGCTGCACAGATATGAAGAGATCGCCGGCATCAGAGTGAACAAGGCCAGTTCACTGCGTTCGCATGCACTTATCAGGCGCCGTGATGGTGCCATGATCGACGAAAGAGACCACTGCTACGTAACGCTCTCCGCACAGCAGCGGAGTTGTTCTGAGACGCGCATGGCGCACAGCGTCTCGGCGACCGGGATATCGCGACCAAGCAGCCATCAGGATAGATTGTTGGGTTTTTGCCTAATACGCTTGCAGTTGCACCTATTGGAGAGGTGCTCGTGCAGCTGATTTGCCAATGGACAGCGTTGCAACCTCCAGCCTGATAGAATGGCGAGACGTGATTCGGTGGGACCCGCATAAGGCTCCACGGATTCCGATAGGTGTGGGCATGGACGAATTGGTAGGAGTGGGGGTCTTTTTCTAATTTAAGCAGTTCATATCGAGGGCTGGTCGATTTATGTAAGAGCAGGCAGATGGATCGCTGTCAGCCTGCCATGTAACTACTACGTACGGGAGGTCATGCGGTGCGTGGAGGGGAGGGCCGGAGGGGAGGGGGGTCGGTGGATGGTGGAGCAAGGGATTGGTAAGCGGGTAATGAAAGCTGACGGGGTGTAATTCGTAGCCGAGGGGTCCGACGGAAATAGCTACGGACGGCCGTAGCGGGCAGGTGAGAAAGTTGGTCAGCGAGGGAGCTGGAGCGAGGGAGAGCTCTGGAGAGCGGAGAGAGGTGGTCGAAGTCGAGGATCTTTGGTGGTGGCTCGGCCTCGGCCGGCCTTGTTCGCTTGCTCGGCGGCAATCCTTTTAAATAAGATAGCGGTACAGTCCCCTCCCATCACCTAAGCAAGACTTATTCAGCAGACCACGTCCAAGTTCCAAAAGTAAGTGCTGGAGAGCGAGCGAGCTCACCTTCGCGCGGTCGACGAGGTCGCGAAAGCTCCACGCTCAACATGCCCCTCCCGCGCCCACCCACCCGACGACTGACCGCCCGTCGCAGCTGCTCTTTCTATTCCGTCACCGTCACCGCCGCCCTTCATCACCAACCACTCCTCCACCGACACCATCCTCCTTGACCACAGGCGTCGCCCGGCCCGCCATAGTTGAATGACGACTCCCTACGCCTACACGATGCAGCATCATCAGCAGCAGTCACCACCGGTAATCCATGCCCCTCCCATGCCCTTTGCCCCAAAGAGAGCCTGTGCTAACGCGAGCCTGCAGCAGAGCCTAGAGATGAGTAAGCCGCGCCGAGCTGACATTCCCACCCCCCGGCTACTCGACGCTGACGACTGCGCCTTAGGTTTAAGAGAGCATCTGCTCGCTGCGGGTGCTGGCCAGCCACAACCCCCTCCGCAGCCTGTCGCGCCCGGTCCGCAAGCCCATGCACCCGACGTCCACGGCCACCACCACATCGACCCCGCCATAGCCGGAAGCGGATACCCCATGAGCGCGGGCGAGGCGGGCGACGGCCACCTGAGCGAGGGTGGGCGCAAGGGCCGGCGCGAGCTCTCGACGTCGAAGCGCGCCGCTCAGAACCGCGCCGCACAGGTACGTCGACCCGCGCCCCTCGAGTCGCCGCATAAGAGCTACTGACACGCATTCGACAGCGCGCATTCCGTCAGCGTAAGGAGGAGTACATCAAGTCGCTCAAGGATCAGGTCAAGGATTATGAGCAGATGGCGACTAGCTACAAGGCCATCCAGGCCGAAAACTACGCGCTGCGCGACTACATTATCAACCTCCAGTCGCGTCTGGTCGAGGCGCAGGGCACATTCCCCGACCCGCCGGCCGACATCAACTTGTCGCGTGAGGAAGGCGCCGATCACCACCACCATCAGCCCCAGAACAACCAGGCCCACCAGGCCCAGAACCACCTCGGTCAGTCGCAGCACGACTCCATGTCGGCACCGACGGCCCCTATGACGTCTTCTGCGGCGGCGCAACTCCAGGCAGCCGCGTCTCAAGCTGCAGCTGCCCAGGCCGCTGCGGCGCATGCCTCGACGGAGCTCAACAACGGCCAGAAGCACGGCCACCAGCACGAGGATCCACAGTACATGACGGGCGGTGAATACCCGCCGGCCAAGAGGCCAAGGAGCGAAGAGAACGGGGGCGGTGGTGCAGGAATGACTTCAGTTAACGCTGGAGGTAATGCCGAGCTTCATTCTCCTTACTCTGCGCCCCATCACCCCACCTCTGCCCACCAACACCCCCACCACCCGCACCCACACCACCAGCACCAACACTCGTTCTCCGGTGCAGGCACCGCCCACACGCCGTCTCCGTCGGCGCACTCGGCGCCCAGCACCCTGCACCACTCCCCTGCCTCGTCGTCCGCCCTCCCGCCGCGCGCCGACTCGTCGTCGTCGGCGGGCTTCCCCGCCTACGCGCCCGTGTCTTACAATCATCTGGTACAGCACCCCCATCAGCAGCAGCCCAGCAACAGCAGCACGCCGCAGCCGGCTCCGGGCCAGGCGCCGCACCAGCAGGGGCCCCATCCGCAGCATCAGCAGCCGCAGCCGCAGCCGCAAGCGTCGTCGGACGGCATGAAGGTTGAGGGGGACGAGGCCATGGCGGCGGTTTTGAGGGCCGAGTCGGCGCGACAGGAGGCGTTGCAGCAGCGGGAACGGGAGCAGCAGCAGCAGCAGCAGCAGCACGAGGGGGCGAGTCAGGAGAAGGCGTGATGGATGGGGGGGGTGATGGTTGATGGGTTGGGAGAACTTGATGGTTTCGCATGGGATGGAAATGTGCGTGTGTGGAGGAGGTGGTTGCGGTTGTGGTTGTGTTTACGGTTATGGCTACGGTATGGCTGTGGCTTTGGCATGTGCGATATGCGCGATGCGGTGGATTGGAGGAGCGAGCAACATAATGGCGGTTCGACTCGAGTATTAGGTACCTATATAGCTAAGTGTTGGGCTGTGGGATTGCGGAATGCGGATTGCAGCAAGCGACAACGATAGCGATAGCGATAGCAATAGCAATAGCGATGATGGCGGTAGTGATGGTGGTTATGGTGGTGGTTGCAGGTGGATGGATGAATCGGATCAGGCAAAGGCGAAAGGCGAGCACGGAAGCTGAGACTACACACTTACTTACCCTACCGTACCTACTTACTAGGCGCAGAAGGCGTTTTTCCTCTCTTATTCTGTCTTGTTTTGTTGTTATATTTTGTTAAGCTACTGTGGTGGTGTTAGTGTTATTAGTATATTTGAGGGTTGTTGCTGTATAAATTGGATTGGATAGTTGGGTTATTCTGTGTGGTTGTTGCTGTATGCGTGGGGAGGGGAGGAGGGGAGGAGGGGTAAGGTATGAATTGAGAAAATCGCCCGCGTAGTATATATATATATATATATATATATATATATGTGCGCTCTATATTGTAATATAGTAGGATTTAAAATATTAAGTACGTATACGAAATATAAAAGATATAGCTATATAGTTATATAGATATAATCGATAGGGATGTGTATAAGAGCCTTAATGATAGGATAGTTAGTAGGAAGTAGGAGGTAAGAGGTAAAATATAGAAAATAAATTAAAATCGAGCAATAGTAACGAAGACGAGGAAGAACGTATTTGTATTTACTACTTATCTATAGAGGGTTAGAGGTATTAGGATGGTAGATAGCTAGTATAACTAGGAGTGAGAACGAGGCCTTTCCTTTCCTTTGGCCTTGCTTGCGTGGTTTTTGTTATCTTAGCCTGCTGCTCTACTCCGCCTACCTATGTGCTCTACTCATCCACGCAGTGCTGCCCGTCTAGCTTACTTACCTACCCATATACCCTACCCGCGCACACACCCACCCCGCACTCACACACTCCCCCCCCACCCAGCACCCAGCAGACACGCACCACACGCAGAGCCTAGAGCCCAGAGCCCAGTCCAGCCCAGCCCCGATAAGCCAAAACCAAGCCAATCCAACGCAAAGCGGGCGGACGGACTAGTGCGGGAAAGCGGTCACAACGGCAACGGCAACGGGTAGGTCTGGACGCGCCCCCGCGGGCGCCATGCCGCGTAGGCGTGGTGCGCGGTAGCGAAATATGTGGAAAATGGCGAACTATAGTGGCGGTAGTGAGTGATAGCGGCGGTAGTGGAGGATAGTAAGAGATAGTGAGCGATAGTGCAAGCAAGTGCAAGGTCTCGACGCAGTAGCTCGATCGGTGATGGCTTCGGGGTCTGGCTTGCTGGCTTGCTGGCTTTTTTTTTTTTTTGGAAAGAAAAATGGGAAAATAGTACTGTGTATGTATGGCCAAAAAGTAGAGGGAACTGGCGCAGATGCACGCGCGCGGACTTTTCTGGAGGGGAAGAGAAAGAGAGAGAGAAAGGTAGGAGCTACCCACCGCACTACATAGAACTCCAGAGGCTGAAGGGCTCAACCACTCGTACCTACTCTAACAACGGCTTGGACGACCGGGACTCGGGAGAGGGGGAATTAATGGCGCGGTAGGCGGCGTGCGGCGTCCGGCGTGCGGCTTGCAGCTTGCAGCTTGCCCTCACTCGCAGCGCAGGCCGAACGGGCGATCGTCATCAGCGCAATGGGGCAGCTCAAGCTGCTAGCGCGCTGTGGCGGCGTTGCGCTTGCGTTGCGGTGCCTGGCGTGCCTTGGTGGTGGGACACCGGCACGCCGGGAGGGGGGACGGCGGCGTTTGCCGGTGGAGACGAGTTTTTTTTTTTTTTTTTTGTTTGATCTGTTTATTTTAGGGGACGGACGGGAGGAAGTCCAGCGTCCTTGCCCAGGCAGGCTGGGAGGCTGGGGGCTAGACTCGCGCATTGCGGCTGTGTGTATGCAGCCTGACGGTATGTTTACATGTGTGCGGGGGGGGATCTGGCTCGATCGTGCGCGGGGTCGCGATACGAAGAGGAGAGCTATTTCGAACGTCGAAGGAGATGGATGCATGGGACAGGTTGGCTGCGTCATACGGTAGGTCTCGATGACGATTGACGAAGTTCTTGCTTGCGATTTCTTGCAGGGTGCACACGCGCCCCCCGCTGGCGCGGCTGCTTCGGGATGTGTGCATGCGAGCGATCGGCAGCGTGGATTATTCGATCGGATCCGCGGGGATCGGCGCGCACTGCGAGGTCTACTGGGTAAGCAAGTATGGAAAGCGTACGTGGGTGCGTGCGCGGCTGCTGGTGGTGCTAGTGCTGGTGCTGCTCCATCGCAATCCCGCTTCACGGAGACCGAGAGAAGGGAGAAAGGGGGTCAAGCATGTTGGTGACGGGCGTGGCGTCCCGCCGTCGCGGGCCAAGCGAGCGGGCGGTCTTGTCTCATTCGCTCGTGCCTGGATGTGGCGGTTTCACCCTGCGAAGGGTCTAATTGATGAGGGATGCCATACGACGCCGCCGCCCCCCCCGGAGGCCCTTCCTTGACGGCCGGAACTGCTGCTGCAACAGACAGAGAATTTCCTTCTTTTCTTCTTTCTCACCAGAGCCGTTTTCCTTTGTGCTTCTCCCGATTTTCCATCATTCACCATCGTTTCCGATATCACTTTGTATCAACGTCAATCGCTCAGCAATCTCCGTCGCTCATCCATTCATCACATTCCTGAGAGCTCGCCATTTTGCGCCCCGAGTTTCAGCAACCCCTTGACCATCGAGACACCCGCCCGCCTCGCTCGGTCCTTTTTCATCCATCACCAAGCTCCACGACAAGGTGAGATCTTCACACCCACTTCGCCCAATCGAGCCGAGGGGACCGGGACCCTGCAACCTGCGCCTTTTGCTCCACACGGCGACCCTCCCCGTGCTTTCACCCACGCGCGGATCCATCTCCACCGATCATTAGGCACTTCAAATAATGTCGGCCAACCCGCCTACGTCGCCCAGGTCGCCCAGCACCCGCAGCCACCGCACCTCCCACCGCGGCTTCTTGCCTCTTCGCGAATACACAAACCCCGACATGGCGTCCAATGACGCTACCATAGACATCCCTCTTGAAGCTGTCAGCCGCAACGCCTCTGCCCGCAACAACAGCACCTCTCCCATCAACATGGAGAACAACGAAAAGGCCGAGCACGGCCAGACCATTGCCGGTCGCCGTAAGATGAAGACCGCCGAAACCACCCAGAACATGGGCGAGGGAACCGGCCATGTCGGCTACGATGGCGAGGAAGACACCATCACTCGCGTCGGCAAGATATACTACAAGATCCTCAACTTCAGCATCATCACTCGTTACTTTATTTACGTCACTCCCTTGGCTCTTGCCATTGCTGTTCCCATCATTGTCGGTGCCACCGCCGCCAAGGATGCCGACATTGGTGGTGTGCGTATCGTCTGGTAGGTCCACGAGCTCTGAGCCAGCAAAGCAGTCACTGACGGTTGTAGGTTCTTCACCTGGATCGAAATCATTTGGCTTTCCATCTGGGTCTCGAAAATCGTCGCCCATTTCATCCCCCGGATCTTCCTGACACTAGCTGGCGTGATCAGCTCCGGCGTCCGCAAGTATGCTCTTGTCATCAAGGCTCTCGAATTCCCTCTGTCCATTGTTGGCTGGGCCGTTACAGCTCTGGCCACCTTCATCCCGCTCATGACCCGCAACCCCGACACTCAGCGCGCGGCAGACGCCCAAACGGCGGCTAACCTGCCCCGCACTGCTGACAGCGTCAAGGAGTGGCAGTCGGTGGTGAGGCATCTGCTCGCTGCTGCTACAGTGTCAGCCTGCGTGTTGCTCCTCGAGAAGTTCATCATCCAGCTCATCAGCATCAACTACCACCGCAAGCAGTTCAACTCGAGAATCAAGGAGAACAAGCGTAGCGTCTTCCTCCTTGGTCTGCTCTACGATGCTTCCCGCTCCCTCTTCCCGTCCTATTGCCCGGAGTTCCAGGACGAGGACTACATCATCAGTGACATTCTGAACCTCAGCTTTGGAATCAAGAAGAAGGGTCACGGCCGGTCTGGATCGGCTACGCCCATGAGAATCCTGCAGGATGTCGGTCGTGTTGGTGACAAGATTACTTCTGGTGAGTTTTCTGCTGTATTAAAACATCAAAACCCAAGCTAACCAGACGACAGCATTTGGTAACATCGCCTCGGAGCTTACTGGCAAGCAAGTCTTCAACACTGACTCTGCACACTCTATTGTCACATTGGCACTCGACAGGACCAAGTCCTCTGAGGCTCTTGCCAGACGTCTCTGGATGTCCTTTGTCGTCGAAGGCAAGGATGCTCTGTACGTCGAAGATATCGTCGAGGTCCTTGGTCGGGGCCACGAGGAGGAGGCCGAGGAGGCCTTCAGGGCCCTTGACAGGGATGGCAACGGCGATATCAGTCTGGAGGAGATGATTCTCGTCGTCTCTGAAATCGGTCGCGCTCGTAAATCCGTCAACACTAGCATGCACGATATCGACCAGGCCATCAACGTCCTTGATGGCTTGCTCTGTGTTATTGTCTTTGTTGCTGCTATTTTCATCTTCAGTAAGTTTTACTCGCAAGCTTCTTTGGATCACTTCTGACTCGTCCAGTCTCTTTCCTGAACTCCAGCTTTGTTACTACGCTCGCGACTGCTGGCACGGCGCTTCTGTCTCTTTCCTTCGTCTTCTCCGTTACCTGTCAAGAGGTGCTGGGTTCTTGCATTTTCGTCTTCGTCAAGCACCCGTACGATGTCGGTGACAGGGTTGATCTTACCACCGGTACCGACCAGCTCATCGTGGAGCATATTTCGCTTCTGTTCACCGTCTTCAAGCGTGTGACCAACGGCAGGACTGTCCAGATCCCCAACAACATCCTCAACAGCTTGTGGATTGAGAACACGAGCCGCTCTCTCGCCATGAGGGAACAGATTCCCGTCTACATCGACTTTGGCACTTCTTTCGAAGACATCCAGGCTTTGAAGGGGGAGATGGAGAACTTCGTTCGCGACAAGGAGAACAGCCGCGACTTCTTCCCCGAAGTCGAAATCGAGGTGCGCAGCATCGCGAGCATGGACAAGCTCGAGCTCAACCTGGAAGTCCGCCACAAGAGTAACTGGGGCAACGAGTCGCTGCGCGTCCTGCGTCGCTCCAAGCTCATGTGCGCCCTGGTGCAATCGATCCGCAAGGTTCCCATTGCCGGGCCCGGAGGCAGCGACGCCGCCCTGGGCGACGTGGGCAAGCCTTCGTACTCTGTGTCGATTTCGGCATCTGAGGCGCAGGAACGGCGCGAAGCCTTCCTCGCCGCCGCGGACGCAGCACGCCTGCACCCGGCCAAGAAGGCGGAAATGGAGGCCGACGAGGCGCGCTCCTCGGGCGTCGAGTACCTAGGCAGCGGAATGAACACGGAAAACCAAGCCATTAACATGCTGGTGCGCCAGCGGTCACTCGCCCACGACGAGCACCGCGACGGGGTCTGGAGCGCGCGCGACGACGCGTCCAGCATTGGCGGCCGGCCCAGCATGGACATCCAGGACCGGCAGAACATTGAGAACGCGCTGCGGCACGAGCCGTCGAAGGGCGGGAAGCGCAAGGCGGGCGTCAGCAGCCCTTTGAGCGCGGGCTTGGGCGTGCCGACGATTTCGGAACCGGCCGGCCAGTACGGCGGCGCCCAGTACTATGACTATGCGCAGCAGCAGCAGCAGCCGCAGCGCCAGCTCTCGGTCCAGTCGGCCAGCAGTCGCTCCGATGTCCATTATGCGGGTATGAGCCCTGTTAGCCAGCAGTTCTCGTACTCGACGAGCCCGCAGGGCTATGGGACGCAGGCGCAGCAGTGGGCCCAGCAGCATCAGCAGATGCAGGGTGCTGGTGGTGCTCAGCAGCAGCAGCCTCCTCAGCAGCCTCAACAACCTCAGCCCCCGCAGCAGCAGCAGAGGTCGAATAACCCGTACACGAGGTCGGCTACTAAGGAGGAGTAGGAGTAGTTTTCTTGCACTTCTTCTTCTTCTTCGTCCTTCTCTTCTCCGTCTCTTTTTTCTTTCTCGCACACACCACACAAAAGTCCGCGGGCGAGATGCGCTGCCGGCATGCTGATGCGCCCGTTTTGATTTTCTGTTTCTTCTTCTTCTTCTTCTTTTCCTTGACTCGATTCGCCTCTCAATGAGATGAGATGAGGGTCGAGGACCGTTGTATTATCTAAGACCTCTTTTTTCTTTTCTTTTCTTTTTTTTTTTTCTACTTCTACTTCTCTTTTTTAGGGACGGACGCGTGCATACTTAGGGCATGGATGCATGCATGGATGCGTTTTTTTCTGCTTAAGCTGGGGTCAACAGCCATAAATAGGTGGTGGTGTTTCTTTGCTCGCTCTCTTGACTGAAAGAAGAGTTTGATGTCTGGTGGATGAATGGCTAAAGGAAGGGTTGGGGTTGATGTGGAGGGTGCATGGGAAGAGGAAGGGTTCATTGTAGTTGAGCTATGAAGTAGGTTTGAACTGAGCTGAGGAATTGAATGTGATGTGTGGTTTCTCTCGATTATTTGTTTGAGCTGTTGATCGTGTTGGAGTGTGGTGCGTTGTTTGTATGTACTCGCGGTGATGGGATGTCGTGGTGTCGAGCTCGGAGTGGATCTCCGACCCCGGACGGGACGGCAGACGGACGCGCACGCACGGCCCCGCTGCTGCTTGCTGCGTCCGTCCGGCGTCCACCTGCGTGTATCCACGCCGCGGGAGCTCAACCTCTACACTACCCCTTCCTCGACTGTCGACCCCATCGCCTCTACCTACCTACCTACCTACCTACATACGCGTCGTCTAGCCGGAAGCCTCGCACCCGTCTACACTCGCCCTCGTCCTCGCACTCGAACGCTCGCAAGCTCGGTGCTCGCTCTCGGTGCTCGTAGGCTCGCTCGCAAAAGCTCGCAAGCCAAGATGGTGGGCAAGAAGTCGAATCGCGCGCAGATGCGCGAGGAGGGTGCGTCTTTGTCTAGCTACCCAGCCCCCATCTCTTCCACAGATGTCCTTTGTTCGAGTTAAGTGATCAGGCTAACGTTGTGTACCTACAGGTCTGGAGCGCACGGATAATAACCTCGACCTTACGACTTGGCCGCAGGTTAATATGATTAATCAGAAGAACTATTATACGTTGGTTTCCCTCCCTGCCGTACTGCTGCCTTTGTATTGGGGTGTTGAGGTTTGAGGAACTGGAGTGTTGAGGTTTGAGGAATTGGTGGGTTTGAGTTGGTGAGGCTGAGGGCTTCGCGATGAAGGGACGACGGGCGACGAAAAAGGGCGAGGTGGTGGAAGATGCGCCCTCGGTCGCTTGGGGCTATACCACTGGAGCCCTGTCGACAAGGTGGTCGAAGAGGTGTGGATTCCTCGCGTGTCTGCTGCGCTTGGCGGGGAGGGCCGACGCGCGCCGCATGCTGTTTTCACGACGACACACGTAGCTTTGGAGGACCTGCGCTGACTCGATTGCTCCACAGTGAATACCTAAAGCGCGACGACCAATTCCTTGCCTACCGGACGCAGAATGAGGAGGCCACGAGCCGAATGGTACAACAGGCACGAGACAAGGACCGCGCACTAGCGCAGGGTGCCGATCCCGAGGACATGACGGCAGAGGAGAACGGGGCGGCGGTCGCGACGCAGGAGGCCATCGGGTCGAAAGTCATCGTCATCCACCCGGGCAGCCAGAACATGCGGATCGGGCTGGCGAGCGACGCGCTGCCCAAGACGGTGCCCATGGTCATAGCCCGCAAGTGGCCACAGAACGAGGTCGAAGAGGACGGCGGCGAGCCGCGACCCAAGCGCCTAAAGGTCGACGACGAGCTGCCCGAGGAGGCGGACAAGTGGTTCGGCCCGGACTTCTCCAGCCAGTACGGCGCCATGTCCGCGGAGCTGAAGACGCGCATGCGCGCCAACAAGCGGCGCGTGCTGCCCAACTCGAAGGAGCTCGTCGTCAACTACAACAGGCGCACTCCGCCGGAGAACATTTCGGAGCACAACGACCCCCATCGTGTCGAGTGGACGCATATCCCTGACGACCCCAAGGAGGCTCCGGACTACCTCTTGGGTACCGCCGCTTTGAGAATCCCCGAGGAGTCGAATCCGCGCTACAAGCTCTTCTGGCCGATCCGGCACGGCTGGTTCAACGAGCAAGACTACCAGACGAAGAACCTGCTGTTCCAGGACCTCTCGCTCATAATAGAACATGCCATTATTTCGGAGCTCGGGCTGAAGCGGAAGAAGGACTGGGGCCAGTATGGCTGCGTGTGCGTCATCCCGGACCTCTACGAGCGGCGCTACGTCACGCACCTGCTGGACATTCTACTGCGGGACATTGGGTTCGGCCGCGTGTGCTTCCAGCAAGAGAGTCTTTCCGCGACGTTTGGCGCCGGCTACTCGAGCTCGTGCATCATCGATATTGGCGCTCAGAAGACGTCGGTGTGCTGCGTTGAGGAGGGCATGTGCGTCGAGGATTCGCGGATCAATATGAAGTACGGCGGTGCGGACGTCACGGAGACTTTTGTGCGCATGATGCTGCACGATTATTTCCCGTACGCGGATATCAACCTCAAGCGCCGGTATGACTGGTTGCTGGCGGAGGAGCTGAAGCAGAAGTTTTGCACGATGAACGAGGGCGATATTAGCGTGCAGCTGTACGACTTTCACTTGCGGGCGTTTGGGAAGGACACGCAAAAGTACTTTTTCAAGACTTATGACGAGACGATGCTCGCTCCTATGGTAGGTTTGGGGGAGAAACACACCGAAGCAAATTAATTCTGACAAGGGCTTAGGGATACTTCAACTCGGCAGTCTTCGACCATTCAGAGAAACTCAAGGGGCGTCGCAAGCTGATTGAACGCTCGTACGATCTCTACGATGGCTCGCCAAACGATCCCGGTTCGATAGCCCAGACGGCCGTCATGCAGATGGCAGCTCCCCAGGTCCCACAGGTGCTCAATGGCCTGGTAGACCCTGAGCCGTCGAAAGCGCCGCCAATGGCCTCGACGCCCAGTCGCTCGGGACAGCAGCCTCTCGGTCTCGCTGGCCGGCTCGGTGACGTCGAGGGCACACCGCGGTCGTCGGTTGCGGGTTCGCCCGGGCCCGAGGGCACACCGCAGCCGATCCGCGAGACGCCATTGGGCGGCGACCCGGCGGGGCCGACGAGCGGCGGCATCTTCTACGACCCGACGCTGGAGAAGATCAAGGCGGCCGACGAGCGGGACAAGGTGCTGCCGGCGTGCGGGCTGGACGTGGCCATCATGACGTGCGTCGCGCAGGGGGCGCGGGGCGACGACCGCAAGGCGCGCGAATTTTACGGCGGCATCATGGTGATTGGCGGCGGGGCCAAGGTGCCCGGGTTCCTGTCGTTTTTGGAGGAGCGGCTGCGCGAGCAGCTGCCCGGCTTGGGCAAGGAGATTCTGATTGGTTCGCCGCCGCGCGATCTGGACCCGCAGGTGCTGGTGTGGAAGGGGGCGAGCGTGTTTGGCAAGCTCAGCAATAGCGGCAACGATAGCTGGGTCAGCCAGAAGGAGTACGATATTCTGGGCAGTCGGCTGCTGATTAGTAAGTGCATGTTCCCGTGGTAGGCGGGGTGCACGGATGTAGTTGTATCAAGTGAATTGTGGAGTGAATGAAGTGGAATGTGAAATGAATGAGGTGGAATGTGAAGTGTGAAGTGAAAGTGTAGGTGCTGTAGGTGCTGTAGGTGCTGTAGGTATATAATCCGGCTAGCGTGGGCGACCATAACTGCACAACACCGGCACTCTCCATCACGTCCAACCGCCGCACCATCCACTAACCAACAACTTCAACGCCCCCCCAATTCCGACAAGATGGCGAGCTCCGGCCAGCGCGTCTACCACCAGGACTACATCGCGCGCATACGATACTCGAATGCGCTACCGCCGCCGCCCAACCCGCCCAAGCTGCTCGAGATTCCCAACACGGGCCTGGCCAGCGGACAGTACACGTCGGCGGGATTCGCGTCGCGGCTGGCGCGCGAGCAGCCGCTGAACATCGAGGCCGATGCGGAGCTGGGCATGCCGATAGATTTGGTGGGATTGCCGGGCGTGTTTGAGGGCGACGAAGCAGGTGAGAGAGAGGGTCGAGAGGGTCTCGAGACAAAGAAAGGACATTGGCTGACAATGAGGCGATGCGCAGTGCTGCTTTCGGGATCGCGGGCGACGCAGCTACACCCCCACGACCGGGCGCTGCTGCGGCCGCTGTCGACGCTGGGCAAGCCGTCGTCGGTGACGGCGGGGGTGAGCTTCCTGCGCCGCACCGAGTACATTACGGCGTCGGGGCTGCGCATGGACAGCAGCGGCGCGGGCAGCGCGGCATTGCGGGGCCCGGAGCGCGCGCGCCAGGCTGCGCGCAAGAAGCGCCTGCAGACGGACGCCGAGAAGAACGAGCCCGTCAACATCCTGCGCAACATTGTCAAGGGCTTCGACGTCGCGCACCCGGAGGACGCGTACAAGGGCCCCGACACGACGTCCAACTTGCGCGCCGAGGACGTCTCCCGCGAAGAGCGCAATGCCTGGCTTAATCCCAAACACCCCTCTCGTCCGGACCTCAAGCTGCTGGACCAGTACCCCCTCCTCCCCGACCTCGACGCCCTCCCCGACAACGGCTCCTACATCGTCACAAAGTTCCAGACGAACCCAGCGGCCGCTCCCGCGGACTCCGAGCGGTACGACGAGCGGCTGGACGTGGGCGTGCTGCGCATCCAGCCAGCAGACGCCGAAGCCCTGGAGCGGTACACGACAGCGCTGGCAGCCTTCCAAGAGGACCCGTCGCAGCCGGAGCCCGCGCAGCCGTACAACTACGAGTTTTTCCTGCCCGCCGTCCCCTCGTCGTCGGCCGCGCGCGGCATCAAGCGCAAGTTCGGCGACCCCTCCGCCGCCAACGACGACACAGCATACACGCACGAGGGCGTCGCCGCCGACGGCACCCCCAAGCGCTGCTGGCGCTACGAGCGCGTCCGCGCGTACGAAACGTACCAGCAGACGGGCGACGCGCGCGACGCGTACGGCGACACGCTCGCGCTCGCCCTGCACGATGCCGAGCCCACAGCGGCGGCGGCGGGACAGGGCGGCCGCCTCGCCCAGAAGGCGGCTTACTACTACCCCGTTGTCACGCGCACGTTTATTCGGCCCCGTCGCGCGAAGCCCGGCATGTACGTCGAGGACTCGGACCGCATTGATGTGCTGGAGGTTGAGGCGCGGGAGGCGGATGAGGCGGAGCGCGCGCTTAGGGACGGGAATAAGGCTGTGCTTGAGGGGCGGGAGGTGGATGTTGATGTTGAGGGGGAGGGGGGGGTTGAGGCTGAGGCGGAGGCGGAAGGCGAGGGCCATGCTGAGGAGGAGGAGGAGGAGGCGGAGGCGGAGGCGGATGCCGAGGGCGAGGCTGATGTCGATGCTGAGGGCGAGGAGGCGTAGAGTGGGTGGGTTGTGGGCTGGTGGGCTGGTTGGGTGGTGCGTGGGTGGGAGAAAGGAAAGAAAGAACTCAATTGGTTGGTTGGCATAAGTAACCTCAGGGATCTAGCAGGATAATCTCATTGATTCGATTCAGTTGCAAGCAGTGCAATTCAACTCTGTGCAATTCAGTGCAGAGCAAATCAGTGCCGACTCGTCCACAGCATGGCGTGCCTAAGGTTATTCTAGCTTCTCCCGTCATCTCCGCAATCCATATGACATAAACATCTACCACATACACACACACACACACACAGAGAGAGAGAGAGAGAGAAAGTAGTACAAGCACCCCCTTCCTTCTTCCTCTGTTATTACACCTCTCCTCTCCTCAACTAGCAGAGGACAGATTCTCCAACCCAATCTGCCTCCTGAGACTAGAGATCATCATCACACCGAGCCACTCTCAAGACTGCAAAAGAAGGTGCTTTGCCTTGCCTTGCTTTTGCTGTATATACTTACATGCTATAGTAGCGCCTCGCCCGCCGTGCTGGTGCTGTTGTGGTGGTGTGGTGGTATAATCCTGTGCATTGGTACTCGCCGCTGTCTTTTGCCGGTGATGGTGACTGTTACTATCTATCAGTGCCGAGCGGTATCATCCCAAAAGCACAACAAGAGCTACGACTCAAATCGGAGCGTTGGATTCGTTTCTGGGCGTTTGTGTAGCGCACGAACAGCTCTACAAGCGTTTGTGTTCCCTCCCGCACGTACACCAGCTCTGATACCAGCACTAGCTAGCGCCAGCGTTTGCGCGAGGCTGGGGGCTGGAACGGAGAGGAGAGGAGATAGTTGGTGGGTCGCTCACTCGCGGACGTATATAGACCTACTCCTATCCTCGCTTGTACAGCAACAGTAACTAAGAAGCTAGCACAGTGTATTTCAGCATGGCCCAGCCCAATGGAATACACTCACATACATGGCAAACCAAACAGATCTTATATTCGGAAATTCGCCCCTAACTCAACAAAACCTGCCGTGAACGCCGGGTCGCACACAAGCGAGCAAGCGAACAAAGCCACCCCATATCTTCCGCAAATACAGTCGAGAGAATAGATATATTGCTAGTTCACATGTACCCCACGCTACCAAAACGACCAACCACGACCTCAGGTAACCTCTCAACCACCAAGAAGAAAACACAACAACAAAACCCCCAATCCATCACCCCCCACCACGCCCCCTCCTACCCATCCCACAACCAACTCTCACCCTCCAGAAACCAGTCCGAAGCCACAGAAAACCCTCCGTGCCCGAAGAACTGTTATAAGGTAACAAAGTAGTGTCTCAAAACCAGACCGTAGTATTGTTGCTCACTGAAGGAAAGTTAGAGGTTGTATTTTCCGGCCCAGTGGGCACACCTTCGAGGCGATTAAGCACATATATATATATACAAATACATAAACAAATAGACAGGAAGGAACCTAGCAGTCCGACGTGAGCGGTAATATCTATCAACGCGCTCAGACGGATTACACTTCCATCCCAGCTTGCATATCGACCACCGCCCAAATATATATCAATATCTACAGGAACTTTTACCCAAAACACTATCCCCAGTACTTCACCGAAGGCAGTAACAGCGAGAGTAGTACCTCCGTCGCTAGACATAGAAGCAACAAAATAGTAACATGACAGTGATATAGGTATAAGTATAACACACCACCGCAACCACAAACCAACTCTATAACCCCCCCCCAAGCAACCAGAACCTTTCCATCCTCGACCAACAACACGCACCACATCCACGAAGCCCACAAAAATTCAATGCCTCATTCCTTCGACAAAATGTGGTTGAGATCCATACCATCGAAAGGTAGCTAACCAAGCAAGCAGCAAGCAAATAAAAATATCCAACATAACACCCCATCTCACACTACCGGTACCACGGCGTCACCCCCACAACCACAACCACACTCGCAAAGCAGAAGCACCCATCCCACCCCCCATACCAGCTCCATCCGCACCCCATCCCCATCCCCATCCCCTACCTCTACAACGAACGAATCACAAAGCCCGCGAGCGAGCACACAGGCTATACTAGCACGTCTTAGGTAGGGAGCAACCCCTCCTTTCATTTTTTGGCTTCTGGCTTCCGACTTCTGGCTTCTGACTTCCGGTTTCTGGCTTCTGTAGATACGAGGTAAGGTAAGGTAAGGGAAGGTAAGGTAAGGTGCAGGCGTGCACTATCTGTGCCTTAGCTCCAAGCCACAAGCCATACCCTATACCCTAGATATTAAGATCGGTTTTCACACGCGTTTTTGCTCGTTGCTCGCCTTGTTGCTGTGTGTGCATGAGATTTGGAGTTGGGATGCTTGGATGGGCATGGAAGCACGTGTTCGTTTTCTACGTCCTCAACCATCCATCCTTTCGTTCAGTCTTTACGCATGAGCGCGTTCATGCATTCATGCATTCACTCAACCATCAGATACGAACACCCCAACCCAAAACCTCTCTCAACCCCCCTCCCTCAAAATCCCAATCTCAATCAATCATACCTCAGTCAAATTCTCAGATTCTCAATTTTCCTATAAACTCGACAACCAAACCACAACAAACAACTACCTAGGTAGGTAGTAAAGAAGCACAGAAACGCGCACAGAGGGTACAGGTACAAGTATGGGAAACGGGTAGAAAGAGTAAAAGTAAAGGTTAGGTTATGGGTAAAGGTTTGGGTATGGGTATGGGTATGAGGGTATCTAGGTAGTAGCTACAACAGACATTCGACAAGCGGGGTGGTAGGGGATATAGGTAGGTAGGTGTGTGCGTGGGGTGTGAAGTGTAGGGTAAAGAACGGTGCTTTCTTCTCCTCCTTTTTTCTTCTCTTATCTCTCCTTGTCCTTGGTTCGGCTTGACTTGGCTTGGTTTGGTTTTATTTGGTTTGGAGCGGAGCTTTGAATTAGCGGTTGGCTGAGTTGCGCTGCCCTGCTCTGATCGGCAATGATGCGGGCGGATGCGGTGTGAGGTGGCGGAGGAAGAAACGAGCGCTGCTGCTGCTGATGCTGCTGCTGCAGTATGAGGTATGTGGTGGCTGTAATGCGGTGGTGAAGTTTACGGTAGGTAGGTAGGTAGGTAGGTAGGAGAAGCTAGCTAGATAGCCAGGTAGCTAGCCTACTCGTCATCCAATATGGAGCTAGCCAGAGGACCAAAGAACGGGACTTCGCAGCGATCGAGGGTCGATGCTGTAGATATCTCAGTCAGCCAACATGTTCTTTTTTTTGGGTTCCCAGACTTCGTGGAAACAGGAAGCGAACGAGGAAGCGCAAACTCACCATCCCGATACGCCCGGAACGTCAGGTATCCGATCAGGCACAGGTCGCACAGCAGCAGCGTCCAGGAGAGGAAGCTGCTCCAGCTGAGGATGACGTGCACGACGAAGAGGAACGCGAAGAGCAGACTAGACTGCCACGCGTGGAACCTGCACACGGCGGTGTTAGCCTCATGTCTCTCGATTCTCAGCCACGCAATCCCGAGCTCTCTCTTGCTCGCCAGGTCTCGCTGGCACACCCACTCACCCACCCCCTCCACGCAAAAACTCACCTCACATAATCGCTGCGATGCTCCAGCACAAGCAACAGCACGCCGCCCGCCGGCGGCAAGAGCAAATACGCCAAACAAGCCTCGTAGTCCATGCGCAGCCCGAGCCGCGTCTCAAAGAGGTCCATATCCTGCCTGACGCCGGCGCCCCCACCGACTCTCAGTCCATTCCAACCGTTCCCACTCCCGCTCCCGCTTCCGCTCTCCAGGTCGCGCGCGTGCGTGGGCGGGAAATAGCTCCCGCTGCCGCCCATGCCCATGCCCGACGGCGAGGGCGAGTACAGCGCGCTGGTGCCGATGGCCGAGGCCGAGCGGACGGGCTTCGCGAACGCGGGCGGGGAGCGCGGCGGCGGCGAGCGCAGCGGTGGTGAGCGGAGGGGTGGTGACCGTAGTGGTGGCGAGGCACTGCCGGTCGTGTTGGGCGCTCCGTTGCCGCCGCTGACGGCGCGGTGCGTCTCCGGCGCGTCTTGGTAGGGCGCGAAATCCATTGCGCGTTGTGTGGTTGTTGTGTGCGAGGGAAGTCGAGAATCGGTTGGGTCGGTAGGGTAGGTTGGGACTGTTGGGTAGGTAGGGTCGGTGTAGGCAGACAGACAGGTAGATTTCCTGGTGGTGCCTTCAGTTTCGTTGTCCGTCGGAGGTGGTGTCGGTGGCGGCTGTAACTACCAGGAGCTAGTGCAGCAACAAACGGTTGGTGCTATGCGCTGGCCTCGTTGTTCACCGCGACACGATACGAACAAGCGCGGCGCTTGCGGGTGCGGCGGCGACGGCGGCGAGCTAACGAGCACAGAGAGCTAGTGAACAGGACGAATCCTGACAGTTGGCGCGATCGTTCGTTCCAGGCAGCGGGATTCTCAGCTCAGTCAGGACAACAGGAGCGTGGTGTAGGACGAGTGCAAAAGAAGGAGTAACCAAGCAGCAGCAAGTAACAACGTATGCGAATTAAGCCGGCCCAAGCGGAAATAACCTATCCGTGATTCACGGACGCGGGTTGCGGGGTTTGATGTTGATGATGACGCGCGCAGGGGGGTGCGGCGTGGTGCGTGCGTGCTGGGTGCGGGTGCGCTGGGTCGGTGGGTTGTGTTGTGTGTGTGGACTTGGTAAGGTGTGTACGTGTGTATGGAGAGGTCTGGACGCTGCGCCAGTCGGGTGCATGACGGGCGCTGTGATACGAGATGGCATCGCGGGGGTTTGAGTGGTGCGGATGTTGGATGTGCATGCATGTATGTACGTACCCCGGATCTGCGCGCCTTGGCTGCTTGCCTATGGTTGGATATATGTATATATTGGCTTTTGATGTATCTACACTGCCCTTCACCCAACTCTCAACCACCACCACCACCCAACTCTCCCGCCTCCCCTAAAGCGCCAAGTCCTCGACCCTCACCAGCCCATCCCCCATCCCCGCCGCCGCCCACCCTCCAAACCGTAAGTTCGGATTCCAGCACACCTGTGTCGTCGCCGTCTCCTCCTCATGTATCGTGTTATACACGACGCCTTCGTACTGGTTCGGGAGGCCCTGCTCGACCCACAGCTTGTAGATCTCGGGCTTATAGCCATCAGTAACACGGCTGAGGGGCGCGGCATGGCGAGCGCGTTTGACGGGGTGCGCGAGCGAGGCCTGCGGCGGGGCGTGTTGGTCATCAGCAGCAGACGCGGTCCCGCGCCGCCACTCGTGCGCAAACCACGTCTGGTGCCACATCTCGGCCTTGGCGACCAGGACCTTGCGCATCGGGTTCGTAGCAATGACCATGCCATCCGTGCACCCTAGCATCGCGAACGGGTGCACCGGGCTCGTCGCCACGTGCGTGATGTTGCTGTTCCCGCGGCCCACGCTCATGTTGACATGGAAGCGCCGCACCGACAGCGCCAGCAGCGTGTAGTTCTCGTCGCTGGTCAGGAAGCTCTGCGAGATGTCGTGCCAGGCCAGCGCGGCGCTGCCGGTGCGCGAGCGTTGCGAGAAAACGCTGTCGTGCGCTGGGGCGCGCAGGTCGGTGAGTCGAAGATACCCGTCCATGCTGCTGGTGGCGATGAGGTAGGGGTGTGAGGGATAGGCTGCCGCGAGCGTGAGGATGTAGCTGCTGTGCACGCAGTGGTAGTACCAGGGACGCGGGTGCCCTGAGCCGGGGATTTGTGGTTTGAGTAGTGTTTTGGTCAAGTCCCAGACCGCGATGCTGCCGTCGGTGTTGGCAGCTGCGATGTGCTCGCCCGAAAGCCATGTCACGCTGGTACAGATGGCGTCGGGTGGGCGTGTCTCAAAGGCCGCTTGCTTGATGTGGATATACTGCGTCGATGTGGATTTGGGGTATCGGATATCGAGCACTCGCATCTTGCCGTCACCCCATACTCCGGCTAGAAGGCCAAGGTTGACCTTGTCTTCATTTGCTTCTTGTCTCTTAGGCAACGGACACCATTTGAACTGTCTGACTGTTCCCCAGTCTGTGCAGACAACCAAGTCAAGATGGGGACGCTTGCTGTAGTCGATGGTGCCTTCTTGGCCAGGGGCCTCGGATGCTTCAAACCTCCATATCTGAATGGACGCAGGGGTGGGAGGTTGGGGCGTAAAAGCTGGAGCTTTGGCATGCTCACGCGGCTTAGGGAAATTGGGTCTTTGCAGCGCCGCCATGGAAAGGTACTGCGTCGTTCCGGTATGTTGGGTAACCCATTCAACGCACTGTACCTTGGCGCCTATGTTGAACAGCCAGCCCTGTCTAACTGCTTGGCTTTGCTCACCATTGGCGTCCGTTGGGTTGCCGTTCGTTGGCGATTTCTCCTTCGGCCAAGCTTCGCTGAGGTTCATAAAGTTGCCCGGGGCGATGTTGAATACTTTTTGATTGTTGAAAGGCCCTAGAAGGACGTCTCTATCAATCCCGTCTGTAGAAGAGAGATAATGCGCTGCTTGCGTAGACGATAGGAAAGCGGACTGCTGTCTCTCTGAAAAGGAATCTTTCCCCCCCTTCTCATAATACCACCCCCAGCCCATGGTGGCTTCATGCTCACGGACCTGATCCGTGTAATACGGGCTGTAAGCCATGCCGCCCTGGCCGTATACGTCCACCTTACGGCTAGGCAGGGTAGGCTCATCGTGCCATTTATCTCGAGCTGTAATGGCCGGTAGCACGTCTTCCTTGGCCGGACCAAACAAATTGAGGATCCTGGTGTCCTTGCCGGTATTGTGGTACATTTCTGCCACGCCACGAGAAGCCAACCGGATGTCCGACTCGACCGTCCGATGGTTGCCCGGATCAATGAAGCTTCCGGTTTTCAAGGTAGAGTACTCTGCCGTGGAAAGATTCGACTTGCCCTTTTTGCTCTTGGCTTTCCGGGCAGGGCCCTGTTCGACATCCGATCCTACGACGGACTCGTCATCGTCAAGCACCAGTTCTCCGGCGTCTTCACCTGACGCGCTCCCCCCGGAGCCCTCGTCGATGGAGAGGTCATCCTCGGCGTCGGCAGCCTCGACGTCGTGGGCTGTGGCGTCAAAATCATCATCGTCACCCGAGTCGGGGTTGACAGCGGGAGCGACGACATCCTCATCATCCAGATCCAAGCCGTCAAAAGCGTCGTTGGTGTAGCGCTTTGCGGGACGGGCGCGGGCGGAGATGCGCCGAGCGGAGGCCATGTCAGTCAGGTTTGCGGGACATGGAACCGAGGCCTGCGCGGCGGCCAAAAAGGAATCCGGAGCCGACGAGACGCCGTCCGCTGCATGACGCGACTGGCCAAGCTCCATGCTCTTTGTTTCAACTCCACCCTCTGCCTCCTACAATCCTACGATCTTTCTACCTGAACCACCGCCTGCTTTCTCCGCTGATTCTCTACACCTCTAGCCCTCCCATCGCGCACGCCCTCCCCTCCACCGCCCGCCATGGCCTCGCTCCCGCCCCGCCCAGCGTCGCAGCGGAGATCGTCACCCCGCGACCAAGGCTCCAGCGCCGACGCGCGCCACGACAGCGAATCCTTCTCCGCAGCCTCGGTCGACTCCGAGACTCTCTTCCTGAACAGCACGCATGCCTCGAAGTCGCAATCGCAGGCTCAGCCCGCCCCGGCGCCGCCGCACAACGAAGACGATGACCCGCGCAAGTGCTGGATCTGCTTCAACGATGAGACCGAGGACATGCCCGGCGCCTCGGAATGGCGGAATCCATGTCCCTGTGCCCTCGTCGCGCACGAAGACTGCTTGCTCGACTGGGTTGCGAGCCAAGAAGCGCCAAATGTGCGGAGACAGGCCGGCCGAGGCTCCAAGATCACCTGCCCCCAGTGCAAGCATGAGATACATCTGAAGCGGCCGCGGAGCCTGGTCGTCGATAGCGTCAGGGCGATGGAGCGGCTTTCGGGCATATTCATACTGCCCGGCACTGTTGGTGTGCTGGGATATACCGTCTACCAGGCATGCTTCATGCACGGCGTCAGCACCGTCTACGCGCTGTTCGGCCTGGAAGACGGCTACCGCATCCTCCAGCCTCTGCACGAAGCGCCGTCTATGGCGCGGGGCCGCGCCTATGAATCCGTCGCTCTGGCCGCGGTATCCCGCTTCTTCCAGCACGCCCGACTGCACTTTGGGCTTTCGGCCATTCCGCCAATCCTCGTGGCCTCCCGTGTGTCGATCGCTGACAGCATCCTCCCCATCCTGCCAGTCATATTTCTTGCCTCATCCTCAGGTTCTGACCAGATGCTTGGTCTAGGCCACTGGCCGCCCAGCGCCGCGCTCTCCTTCTCACTACTGCCCTACATCCGCGGCGCCTACAACACGTACATGGAGAAAGTATGGGGTGAGCGGCAGCGGCGCTGGCTAAAAGAAGTACAACCGCGCGCCGGCGAGGCAGACGCCGAAGCAGGCGAAGGCGGTGGCGCGGGTGGTGCTGCCGGCGCCGGCGACGACGACGCCCTCAACATGGAGGACGACGGCGACGACATCTTCGACATCCATGTCAACTTCGACATCATGGACGTCGCCGACGAAGACGAGCACTTCCACGACGACGCCCATTTCCACGAGGACCTCGCCGACCACCTACCCGGCGGGTGGGCGCCGCGTGGGCGCGCGCACCCCCTCGACGCACCCCCTCTCCCTGACGACCACGTCAACGCTCACGTGCGCGAGCACTTGCACGACCATGACCACGACCACGCCCACGCTGCACCAGCGCCAGACCCGCCGCGCGCGCAGCAGCCTCAGCCCGAGCGCCGCAACCTCGTCTTCCAGACGACAAACGTAGCCGACACGGTTCTCGGCGCGCTAGTGTTCCCGTACATTGCGGCGGGTGTAGGCGAGCTGCTGAAGCTCAGCCTGCCGAAAGCGTGGGTGACGGCGCCGGCGGGAGGCGCGCGCGCGACGGGCCTGCTGCAGAGCCGATGGGCGCGGAGCTTGCTGGGCGGGTGCTTGTTTGTGGCGGCCAAGGACGCGGTGCTGCTTTATGTGAAGTGGAAGATGGCACGGAATCATCGGAAGAGGAGAGTGCTGGATTGGGATAAGAAGAGGGGTGTTGTTGTGGATAATACGAGGGGGTTGTGAGGGGGATGGTGGTAGTGGTGGTGGGGGAGTGCGGTCAGTGCTGTGTATGGCGGGAGGGATGGATGGGATAGGATGGGTCGGGTGTTGGGCGTTGGGGGTTTTGAGCGCGTTAGCACGGGTTCGTTCTGCATGGCCCGAGTTCTTGCTTGCTTGCTTGCGTGATAAGCGGAGCACACCTAGCGCAACGAGGCGCAGCAGAGTCCGACAAAGCCGTATGCCGCGGCGCAGTGCACGACGGCACGCTCGCGCGGGAAGGTATGTACGGTGGTGCTGAAGCCTGGCGAATGCAGTAGCGGCAGTGGGGCTCTTCCGTGATTCGGCTTTGCTTGGGCTTTGCGCTTGCTTGGGTTGGCTGGGCTGGCGGATTAGGATGGGATGGGATGGGATCGTATGGGATGGGATAGCACGGAGTGCGTACCTATGGATCTCTCGCCTTTCTGCTCTTCCTCTGTCTCAGTCTCAGTCTCTGCTTCTGCTCCTCCCTCTCTGTCTTCATCTTGCTTGACGTACGCTGCGACTGGTTTACACAGTGGCTGGGTTAGTGGCTGGCTTTTCACCACTTGGCATGGCTGCTGCTGCTGCTGTATGCGGTTAGCACTGCACAGCGCAAACATTGAGATGGGGCGGACGCGGCTGTACTTGGATGGCGCAGGCAGGAAAGGAGATGGCAGGATGGCGCTGCGTATATGACCCGGCACGGTACTGCGATTTCCGACCGAAGGAATACACGCGGTGTCATGAAGTTGAAGTCCTCAAGTCTTCTGAGTATTTGATGCACGGCTGCAGTTGGTGGCTTGGACGGCGTGGATGTCTGGGCTTGGGGTATGCGTGATGAGGTTCTTCGTCGACTTTGTGTGCTGGTGATAGTCACTGATGCCGTTTGTTTGTGCTGTGCGTGCTTTTGCTGGGTGTTTTGTTCGCTGACTACTGTCCGGTCCAAATATACTTTAGCCCGGGCTATGTATTTCGTAATCTGCCATACTCAAAAGACAGTTCGGCCACAAAGCAAAGCCAAAAATCCAATCATCAATCGTTAAGCCAGCAATTGCAGTTGTTGCACTGAATAGGCGCAGCAGGGAATTAGTCGTCTAATGGCGTTAAATAGACGGCTATTTCCACCAAATAAACACGCACAAATGACGCATGTTTGTTCCAATAGATTAGGTAGTCATCTACTTCGCTGTTGCGCGTGCTTATCCATGGGGAATTGAAGTAGTACTTATCAGATTTACAAGCTAGCTACGATCCATAATCCCTATTATATGCAAAGTGTTTTCCAATGAGGAAGGCAGGGAACAACAAGTAGTTAAGATTGACTTAAAAGCCGTGTCAAAGAGATCACACCATGCGGCCTATTCCTTCGCATGTCGCCGGCCACTGTCTTACAGGCTGCCAAGACGCCTTTCCTGG